AGTAATGGTGGAAGTAGTTATGGAAGTAGTGGTGGCAGCAATGGTGACAGCAGTAGTGACAGTAGTGGTGGCAGCAATGGTGACAGCAATGGTGGCAGTAGTGGTGGTGACAGTAGTGGTGGTAGTAGTGGTAACAGCAGTGGTGGAATTAGTGGTGGCAGTGGTGACAGTAGTGGTGACAGTAGTGGTGGCAGTACTGGTGACAGCAGTGGTGACAGTAGTGGTGGAAGTAGTGGTAGCAGTAGTGGTGGCAGTAGTGGTGACAGCAGTGCTGGCAGTAGTGGTGACAGCAGTGGTGACAGTAGTGGTGACAGCAGTCGTGAAAGTAGTGGTGGAAGTAGTTGTGGAAGTAGTGGTGGCAGCAATGGTGACAGCAGTAGTGACAGTAGTGGTGGCAGCAATGGTGACAGCAGTGGTGGCAGTAGTGGTGGTGGCAGTAGTGGTGGTAGTAGTGGTAACAGCAGTGGTGGAATTAGTGGTGGCAGTGGTGACAGTAGTGGTGACAGTAGTGGTGGTGGCAGTAGTGGTGGCAGTAGTGATGACAGCAGTAGTGGCAGTAGTGGTGGAAGTAGTGGTGGCAGTAGTGGTGACAGCAGTGGTGACAGTAGTGGTGACAGCAGTGGTGACAGCAGTGGTGGCAGTAGTGGTGGTGGCAGTAGTGGTGGTAGTAGTGGTAACAGCAGTGGTGGAATTAGTGGTGGCAGTGGTGACAGTAGTGGTGGTAGCAGTAGTGGTGGCAGTAGTGGTGACAGCAGTAGTGGCAGTAGTGGTGGAAGTAGTGGTGGCAGTAGTGGTGACAGCAGTGGTGACAGTAGTGGTGACAGCAGTGGTGACAGCAGTGGTGGCAGTAGTGCTGGCAGTAGTGCTGGCAGTAGTGGTGACAGCGGTGGTGACAGTAGCGGTGACAGCAGTGATGACAGTAGTGGTGGCAGGAGTGGTGACAGCAATGGTGGCAGGAGTCTACCTGCCTGGAGTCTACCTGGAGGGTATTCCGGGGATCAGCGCCCCCGCGGCCCTGTCCATGACCAGGCTTCCCGGTGGATCAGGGCCTGATTAACCAGGCTGTTACTGCAGGCCGCACTTAGTCCAACGTACGAACCACAGCCCGGCTGATTCGGCACCGACTTTAAGTATCTGTCCAGCTCCCTCTTGAAGGCAGCCAGGGGCCTATTGGTAACTCCCCTTATGCATTGTGGGAAGCTGTTGAACAGTCTTGGGGCCCGGACACTTATGGTGTTTTCTCTTAGTGTACCAATGGCGCCCCTACTTTTCATTCGGGGTATTTTGCACCACCTGCCCAGACTTTTCCTTTCGTAGGGAGTGATTTCTGTGTGTAGATTCGGGACCATTCCTTCTAGTATTTTCCAAGTGTAGATTATGATATATCTCTCTCGCCTGCGTTCCAGCGTTCCCAGTAGTTGAGGTGTTTGACAATACTTAAATGCGCAGTAAATGTTCTCTGTACACTAGATCTACAGTTTCACCTGCTTTGAACGGAGATGTTAATGTACACCTGTACTTCAGCCTAGAGAGAACAAGTGATTTAAAAAGGATCATCACTGGCTTGGCATCTCTTGTTTTGAACGTTATCATTATCCATCGTATTATTTTCTTTGCAGTTGTGATCCTTGAAAGTGAGATCCTCAGACATTACCACTCCCAAGTCCTTCACATTATTTTTCCGCTCTACTGTATGATTAGAGTTTGTAGTATACTCAGTTCTAGTTATTATCTCCTCCAGTTTTCCATAACGGAGTAATTGGAATTTGTCTTCATTATTATTATTATTATAATCAAAAAGAAGCGCTAAGCCATTTGTCTTCATTGAACATCATATTGTTTTCCGTTGCCCATTGGAAAACTTGGTTTATATCTTCTTGGAGGTTAACCGTGTCCTCAATAGATGACAGTCTCATGCAGATCCTAGTATGAGAGTAAGACACATGTGCAACATCTGGGTATCTTTATTGTAGACGTTTCGCCATTCAGTGGCTTTATCAATACAAATTTGCTTTTGGTTGGGCAGAATTTTCGGTAGGTGTGCTCTCAGTTTGTGTAGTTTCTAGGCCTGCACTATAATCCTCAGCATCCAAGCGAGGGCCACCCCGTCCTGCTTCCAGGGAACTACTTTCCCCAGAAGAAGAAGAAGACTCCTCCATTACATCTGTAATGTGGGCTATGGTCTTGTGCAATGATGGTTGTATATTTAAGGTTTTAGTGGTGACTGTGGTAGAGTCCCTAGCAAAGTCTGGACTGGCACTAAGGCTGGGGGTCTGGACTGGCACTAAGGCTGGGGGTCTGGACTGGCACTAAGGCTGGGGGTTGAGTCTGAGGCAGCACTGGGGCTGGGGGCTGAACCTGGGCCAGCACCAGCGCTGTGGGCAGTAGCGCTAGGATTGGGGGATGGGTCTGAATTAGCACTGTGTGTGGGGGTTGGGTAGTGGTGACAGCAGCATTGACAGCAGGAGTGACAGCAGGGGTGACAGCAGGGGTGACAGCGGGTGTGGTGAGCTTGTGGTCCTGGAATTGGACATAAAAGGGGTCAGTATCATAAGGCTTACTAGAGGCACTGTACTGCAAGGCTCCGACCCCATGACGGACCCCATGACGGACCCCATGACGGACCCCATGACGGACCCCATGACGGACCCCATGACGGACCCCATGACGGACCCCATGACGGACCCCATGACGGA